AAAAAAAAAAAAGAAAATTCAAGGAGCCCAGAAGAGCTGTAACAATTTTTAAAAAGAACAAAGCTGGGAAATTCGTAATTCCCAATTTCAAAACTTACTGACAACCTATTGTGATCAAGACAGTGTGAAACTGGCTTAAGAGACATAGATCAACAGAATTAAGAAACCAAAAATAGCCCAGGTGTGGTGACTCACACTTGTAATTGCAGCACTTTGGGAGGCTGAGGCAGGAGGACCACTTGAGCCCAGGAGTTTGAGATCAGCTTGGGCTACATACTGAGACCTCATCTCTACAATAATAATAATTATTATTATTATTAACCAGCTGAGAGTGATGGCACGTGCCTGTGGTCTCAGGTACCTGAGAGACTGACCTGGGAGGATCGCTTGAGGCAGGAATTTGAGGTTGTACTGATCTATGATTGCACCACTGTACTCCAAACTAGTAGACACTGAGACCTTGCCACTTACAAGAGAGAGACCATAAACAAACCCATGAACTAAGGGCAGTTGCTTTTTCTGAGATAATTCAAAAGGGAAAGTAGTGGTCTCAACAAATGCTGCTGGAACAACTGCATACACATGCAAAAGATGAATTTGGGCCTCTATTTCACACCGGATCTAGTATGTATCATAAGTAGTATAGGACTTTGCACTTAAAAACCACTGGACCATCTTAAACTGCGGTCACTTTCATTGAACTCCCTCTTCCCCATATCTACAACTTAATACAGCAATATAATCCAATTTAAAAGAAGAGTCATATTCAAGTATGCACTTCTTACCCTGCACAAGCTTGCAAACAGGCCAACATTGTCGCCAGAGTTTCTGGAGGAAGTTGAGCACTTTTGGGCTGGTCTTTTTCTGGGGCAAGTCCACCCAAAATAGAAGGACATCGTCTCTTTAAAAAAGTCATACATGCCTGGATAAAAGGCTCCTGAAGAACAGAAAAGTCTCTCAGTGATTTTAAATTGGCCTTAGATGTTTTCAAGTTAAAGATAACTACTAAGCACTATGACTAAAATCCAAAATAAATAACATCTTCATTGCCATTTAAAAAAATTGTTTCTTTTAAATTTCTTTCTACTTTCAGTTTATTACTGCTACACAAATTTTAAAAGTTGTTAATTTAGCCATTTTAGCCACCAAAATTTTAGAGCAAAAATAAATGAACAAGTCCTGCTTACCCCATGCTCTCGAATTTTATCTGTGAGCCACTTATCAAGTTTGAGGTATTCACGACGTGAAGCAAGTGCAGCAAGGTCAATAACAAAGGCAAATGGAGTACCATTTAGCAGCATTGACAAGGCCTAAAGGACAAACCATATTAGAAAATGCAAGTAGAGCAATTAAGTAACTATTTCTGTCCCATATTCTGCTTCTTGCTTTCCACAAACAAGTTCAAATAAACCACACTGCTAATATTTCCTTGGTCACAATTTAAACAGCTTAGTACAATTCAGGGTAACATTAGTCATTATTTTCTAAAATAAGATCACATTTTAAAGGTGAATACATGATACTACCTTCCAAACAAACTTTACCACGCTTTTAAAAATAACTAAACCTAGAGCAGAACAAGACTCAAAGCATAAATAATTATCCCTACTCATTTTTCAAAATCTACACATTGGCTTAAGCACAACTATATCACCAAACACCTAGTGATTAATAATACAGAGTCTAGGCCATGCATGTGTTTCACGCCTATAAACCCAGCACTTTTGGAGGCCGAGGTGGGCAGATCACCTGAGGGCAAGAGTTTAAGACAAGTCTGGTCAACATGGTAAAACCCTACTAAAAATACAAAAATTAGCCAAGGATGGTGGCAGGTGCCTCTAGTCCCAGCTACTTGAGAGACTGAGGCAGGAGAATCACTTGAACCTGGGAGGCGGAGGTTGCAGTGAGCCAAGATGGCGTCACTGTACTCCAGCCTGGTTGGCACAGTAAGATTCCGTCTCCAAAAGGGAAAAAATAAAGATACAGAGTTGTTTGTCAATTACATATTTGTCAAAAGATTAATTCTCAGAGTTGCTAAAGGGAAGAAACATGCCTAGTTTCCCCAAAAATTATATCTAACAGGTAACTTACGAGAAAAGCTAACTTTACACTATAAAACAGCTTTACAATACATGGAAGACCAATCAAAAATAAATGAAAACATTTTTATCTACCTAAAGCAACTCTCCTTCCTATCCTTTTCAAGAAATCTCTAAATTTCAACTCATTCTAAGAGCTAGTTACATGTGAATTATTCCTAGAGCATCTTTGTTACTTAAGCGTTTATCTTTTTTCTCATTAGTAAATAAACCAGTATCATTCTGTCCCTCTGAACTCACCTTCAAGTCCTGGGCCACATCAAGTATTCGAGACAATTTGGCCTGATCATACTGCTCCCCTCTCATGTACCATTCTGCCATTGCATGCATGATGAGTTGGCGAATTGAGGGAGACTGTCCCTAAGAAGGGGAAGAAAGATTAAATAGCAATACTGTAAACAATGTGATAGATACTATTACAAATGCCCAGCTAATTTTACTACAACTTGTACAAAAATCAGGTATACCTATGCTGACATTAAGTTCAGGCCTCAAACTATGCAATTACCATGATGTTCTTTATGGAAAAGCCAAGTTACTTCCACATCTTCCAAATAAAGCCTGTTCCTAGACTTGGGTCACACAGTCAGTCATTCAACAAACTTGTATGTCCTATTTTAAGTCTGCCTAACATTTTCAGAAACCAAATGTGAACAAGATTATGTGAATATAAGGTTATATCAAATTTATATAATTACTTTAAATACAATTACTGGTATATAAATAAAAACAAAATAGTTTAAGGTAACCATTTCTTATGTTGCACAGTATAACGTTGGCTGTATCACTACTTCTGGGAGTGGCGCCTGTACATACATTCTAAATCTTTTTATTTCCACAAACAAGAACGTTTGCTTTTATAATTCCATTCCCCTCCCCCCCCAGTAGCCTGGTTTTAAGAAACAACCATGAATGATGCAAACAAGCACCTGGAACTCAGTGAGTATTTCTCATAGAAGCAACAGCAAGGTCATTACTATTGCTATATTCAAGTAATACTCTAGTAATTATACTAGAGTAGCAGATGGTCTGCTAGAACAAGTATTCAATCACAAGTGAGGAGATGCAGCTTGATTACCAGCCATTTCTACCTCACAGCTATGGTGAGAAAGGAATAAAAACCATCTGGACTACAAATGCTTGGTTAAATGTTTATCATGCATTTTGTAAACTGTAAATCTACAATGTTAATTGAGTTTCTAGGAAAGGAGGAGAAACTAACTAAATGACCTAGAACTAATGTTAACATTTTTCACTCATAATAAAGAGCCTTATTTCCTTAATTTGTAAAAAGCACTTGTATATATAATATAAGCTATTTCAAGAATGGGTAAAGGAAAAAGTACCTAAAAAGGGTACTTGAGGTAAAGGGGAAGATAATTTTTTTCTGTATTTATCATATAATGTAGGATATTAGCTTGGGCAACATGGAGAGACTGTCTCTACAAAAATTCAAAAAATTAATGAGGTATGGTGGCATGTGCCTGTGGTCCCATCTACTCAGGAGGCTGAGACAGGATGATTGACTGAGCCTGGAAGGTTGAAGCTGCAGTGAGAAATGTTTGGAACCACTGCACTCCAGCCTAGGTAACAGGGCAAGATCCTCTCTCAAAAAAAAAAAAAAAAAAGGAGGAAAAAAAAAAAAACAATCAGTGGACAAAAGAATACTTACTTGCCAAATACATTCTACAAAATTAGAGGTGAAAAGCACAGGGGCTTGAAAGACATTTCAGCACAAACTGAAATAAAATGTAAATGTTGGATTTAGATAAATTAGAAAAGAATGCTACAATTGATCTGCAATCTTCTCTCATTTCCTATGAAAATATGACATCAATACCTTCTGCCTTCATGATAGATTTTTAAGCTCCTTAGTATAAAAAGGAAAGTCATGCCCTAACAATACACACCTTTCTTAATACTAAAACTATTAAATATTAGTGGGGCATGGTGGCTCACGCCTATACTCCCAACACTTTGGGAGGCTGAGGTGGGGGGATCATTTGAGGTCAGGAGTTCAAGAACATCCTGGCCAACATGGTGAAATCCAGCTTCTACTAAAAATACAAAAATTAACCTGGCGTGGTAGTACTGCACACCTGTAATCCCAGCTCCTTGGGAGGCAGAGGCAGAATAGCTTGAACCCAGGAGATGGATGTTGCAGTGAGCCAAGATCGCACCACTGCACTCCAGCCTGGGCAACAGAGCAAGACTCCATCAAAAGAAAGGAAGGGAAGGAAGGAAGAAAAGGGAAGGAAAGGAAGGAAAGAAAGGAAAGAAAGGAAAGAAAAGAAAGAAGGCCAGGCGCAGTGGCTCCCGCTTGTAATCCCAGCACTTTAAGAGGCCGAGACAGGCAGATCATGAGGTCAGGAGTTCGAGACCAGCCTGGCCAACATGGTGAAAGCCCATTTCTACTAAAAAATACAAAAATTAGCCAGGCACAATAGCTCAAGGCTGTAGTCCCAGCTATTTGGGAGGCTGAGGAAGGAGAATCACTTGAACCAAGGAGGCGGAGGTTGCAGTGAGCAGAGATTGTGCCACTGCACTCCAGCCTGGGCAACAGAGTGAGACTCGGTCTCAGAAAAAAAGAAAAAGAAATTATTAAAGATTATTTTGCCTCCTTGCTTTGGGATCTTATATTTTTAATGCTCACATGATTCTAAAAGATAAAACAAGTTTTATGACAGTATGACTTCTGGTCATAATTCAAAGATGGAAAATAAATTTCTCTGGTTGAGCTTTCACAATACTCCAAAGAATTTATATTATTCAGACAAAAAAACGGTAAGCACACAGTCACATCTTACCTGCCCATGCCATGCATAGTGCAAAATAATAGCTGAGTTAGGGTGGTTTCCAAGGAAAATTGGCATCAGAGTGGAGATGAGTTCATGGCGCAAGGTATGCCAAGAGGTGTTAATTTGCAGTAAGGCCAATACCAGCATGTCTGGACAGTGTTTGATAGGGAAGCTGAAGAGTTGTTTGACTTGCTCATACTGCCCAACCTCTGCAAGCCTCAGCAGAGATTCAATCAAATCCAAGCTCTTCCTAACAAGAATGGAAGAAAGATGTGTTATCAATGAAAATACATGTATACATATTAATTTTCAAAATAAATGATGCCAGCTTTTAACGACAAAACCAAGTTGGTGTCATGTTTTATTGGAAGTCTGAAGTCCAGAGCACTCTCTTAAGAATTAATTTTTGCCAAGAGGTTGAATCTGGTTGACTTTAACTGAGCCTGAAGATCTAACTCTATCCTCAGTGCATGAAAAACATGGAGATAGACAATGAAGTCAATACCATGAGAAAACAGCTAAGAAAATAACACGGAGTAGACTAGAGAACAAATGATGTATTTCTCCATCAAACCAACAGCAAAAATTAAAAGCCAGAATGAAGAGCAATTTACAGAATAAAAGAAACCATAGACTGTGTCTGGATTCTCAATCACAGAAATTCTTTTTTTTTTTTTTTTAGACGGAGTTTCGCTCTTGTTACCCAGGCTGGAGTGCAATGGCGCGATCTCGGCTCACCGCAACCTCC